CTTATTGGTATACTCAATATTTTTTTCTATCTAAATATACATAACTAGATTTAAAACTACCGACAAAATTTCTGGAATATGTTTTGGTAAAGCCCCATGGACGGATCGTTCGTATTACCATAAAGTAGTACGATTCGGACGAGTGAGTGTTGGCAAAGGTATCTTGATAAAGGCACGACTTTTCCCAGATTCCAAAATCATTCCTGAAACCTCGACTATCTCGTTTTTTTTTATATAAATTGGAGATTATGCATTAATATACATACTAAAATAAAAAAACCCCAGTTTAGATTGTTAAACAAAAAGCTGCTTCATTTAGAAGATCCAAAAAATACCTTTTTATAACTTTCATAACCTTTTGTCTGTCCTTCAATTTTCTCCAATAACAATTTTTTACACTATTTAATAAATTTTCATATAATCGAGGTTCTAGGTCCTTAAGAAAAAATGTTACTCTTTTATAACTACTGATGACTTTTGCTTAGTAAATGCGAATTAAATTGATATAAGTTACAACACTGTTCACCACAAATATTGCACTTCCAAGGATTGCTTTCGCTATGACAACCCTTATGAAGAAAGTACAATGTTTGATCAGGGAAAGTAATTCTACAGTGAGCGCATTGAAGTCCACTGCTTCGTTGATCGGGCCTCGTCGAACTTGGAGGTTCTCCTCTTGAATGGGGATTTGAGTTCGTACTATTATTACCTATTATAAAATTAGTATTTTTATGTATATATACTTTTTTCTAGATCACTCACACAAAATAATAATTATTTAAAATACAATTTAATCACATGAATCGTATTGTTTGTATATAAAAATTAAAACAAAAAACATGTAGTGTAACTTTTAACAGAACAAATTGCTTGTAAATGTTGTATCAAAGTTTGTATCGAAAAGTATTGAAATTTACCATTGTTGTTGTTATTGTTGTTATTATTATTTCCAGAACCAGATGAAAGCTTACGTCGTAAATCATCTCGAAGAAGAGATTTCAATGGTGAAACTTTTATCAGGGATGGTAATGGAAGATTACTAGATGTTGCTCCATTTTCCTCTGTTCCATTGCTGTTTGGTTCTTGCTTAATAGGAATAAGTGAAATTGAAGGGGTGATTGCCTCTTCACTTCCCCCAAGATTCCTTTATTTATGAAATAAATTAAAATTAAATTCGAAACAAATTAAGGCCTAGCACGCACACATTTTTCTGCTACTTTAAATATAACATATTTCTGCAAAATATTTATATTTTCAAAGTTTTATTGTGGCAATCGCGCATTTCATTATTATCAAAATATTAATAATGAAAATAGAAGAAGTATCTTCATTAGAAAATAACAGAATGTTTCTTTCATGCAAATTCAGTTAGTTATGACTTGTCGGTTATAAGTATTGTAATCATATCGTCGCGTAGTTGAAAACCCGTCTGTGCGCACTAGGCCATTTATTAATTATAAGAATATTCTATACCTGTGAATACCACTACTGTTAATAGGTAATTGATGATGACTACTACTTGGAGCATTACTGTTACTGTCTGCACTCTGAGGACTATTTGGACTATCTCCATTAAGGGGAGCAGGACTTGGATTTCGTTGATTTGCTGCTTGTTCAGGGTAAGGTATTGATATTTCTATGTGAGGTGTTAGAAAATGCATTGGCGGAGTTGCATTGTCTGCAGATCTATTTCCAGTACTATCTCCACTGTCTGAAAGAGGAGCAGAAGGCATAGCTTCTCCTGGAGCACAACTATTCATTAAAGAACTGGAACTGTTTGGTCCTGGATTATCCAGATCTATTCCATGCCTAAAATAGTTAATACAAATACATACGTTATAGCATTTATAATATGATACTCTTTGTATTAAATTTAATATTAACCTGTTAAAAAAGTGTAACCTAAGGCATTTCATAGTTGCTGCACGGTAGTTGCATAAGGGACAAGATTTAACCATATCATGTTGGCCAACATGTTCGTTTTGAAAATGGGCCCTCATCGCAATTTGTCTTTGGAAACCTCGGTTACAAATTGGACAATGATATGGTAAGGTTTTAGAGTGAGTTGTAAAATGTTCTGCCAAATGATCCTTACGAAAAAATCTCTTCTGGCACACGCGACATTCATATGGCTTTACACCAGTATGCCTCATCTAAAATTGCATTTCCAATCATAATTTAAACCTAACTTTTAAAATAATCAAATTTATAAATCTTATAATTCAGAATACAAGATAGTTTATACCTTGTGCCGCCTCATATTAGCCCCATTAGAAAATTTCATATTGCAAACATCACATTCAAACATTTTTCTGTGAGAACGAATTCCGGAATGAGTTTCCTCTCCATCTCCATCATTTTCAACAGTTTCAATATTCTCTACACTTTCTCCTGTTTCAGCACTGGCCAAACACTGGTCCTGGTGAGCGCAGAATGCTGTCTTATTTATAGTTTCATAGTTTTCACACCTTTCACACCTGTCCACACGTTATGGATCCTTTGATACGCTATTTAAGACTTTGATTATCTCAACGTTTATTACATGTTTCTAAATACAAAAATTAAGTACATAAAGTTGACAGACCTAAAAGCAGGAACTGCACCATCGCTGCTATCATAATTGGTGTTCAAAGCAGCCTCGCTGTCAGGATCCAAAGTTTCTTCTTCTTTTGGAGTTGAGGATTCTCCAACGTCGGCATGCGAACAGGAATGGGAATCTACCTCATTTTCCCCGCCACCACCATCAACCCCATCTGACATGGTATCGAGCCCTCCAGACACTATGCAATTGACCTTGCACCATTCGTTGTTAATTACCTATAGTATAGTAAAAATATATTTTAAAATGTAACATTATTTTCATTTATATGAATTTTTCTTCCTTATAATGTTAATATTTTTGTTTATAAACTTACGTTTATACATGTGTAATACTGAAAATAGTTATAGAAATCCAATATGCAATTTACATTAATTAAATATTGCTATTAACATTTAATAAAAGAATAAATAATTAATAAAATAGGAAAATACCATAAATAGTAAAAGTAAAATAAATAATTTTATTAACTTCCTGAAAAATTTCGATGTTTACCTGTCAGTTTCGATCGAAGGCTCGAGGATGACGAGACGATTGGCTAATTCTACGAGAGTGAGGGGGGGACAGAAAGCAGGAGAGAGAAAGAGAGAGAAGAGGGGAAACCACTAGGACATGGAGTGAGAGAAATTCCGGTAAAGCGCAATGCCAGAGTACACTGCACTTTGTCCCAGTTTCAGGGGAATCCGTCACTGGTGACGTAGTTTTCCGCCGATTTGGTTGAATTTATCACCGTATGCTCGACATTGTTCTACAAGGAAAAGGAGGCTGAGAGGTTCCTGTTTTGCCTTCTTGTTCAAATTATGCAAAACAAGCCATCTCAAGTTTTATATTATTTTAATTTGTTTTCACACAAAAATGTAAGATACCCTTATGTGAACCACTACACGCTGCTCTTCACTCTCTTCTAGAGCACGATCGATTAATCGAAATTATCGATCTTACGATATTCGACTTCACGCTAATTTTCGACTTATCAAATCGGTATTGCTGGTCGATTTTTTTAATATATCTTGTGATAGAAAAATACGGTCCTCTTTAGGAAATACATTCATCCATAAATGTCTTTTGAGCAAACAAATGCTTGTTTTTTAGTGAATTTAAAAGTATTTAACGATAGATTTTTTAAAAACATAATTTGTCAAGCATAAAAGTAAATTAACAAAAATATTAATTTTATGTATGATCAATATAAATTTTCACGTAATATCGTAATTTTTAATCAAATTTAAAATATACAAGGAATATGAATATTTAAATAACTTTAAATTAAAAAAAAATATTAATCCAAATTTGTCACATATTTTTAAAAGTTTGCTTATTCATTGGAGATAGTTGATGACAAAATATAAAATACTAAATATTCATTTTACATTAGAAAATGGACAAGTATGATCATTTCAAAATGAAAGAAATATTAAAAATTTGTATGAATTAAACAGTCAATGGAAGTGTAAACTACTTACTATAAGCGTATTTATCTAATAAATAAAACATTAATTAAATATGTGATTAATGAGTAACTTAACAATAAATTTATGACAAGTCCGTTTATTGTAACATTATCTTGTGTAAGAAATCATTACAAATGTATAAATATTAATGGTTTACAAGAAATATTAATGCAGTTTACAGAAATTATTACCAGAACTTAATCCAATAGGAAAAATGTCCTTGCCCTAAAAAACCCCTGTAAACTCATAATGGTGTAAATAGTAACAATGCACAAATAAAGTATCACTTGCACTTTAATTAAAAATTTAACGAATTGACTTCCTTCTTTTAATAATCATAATCTCATCATAAGTTTTAAAAACAAGGAAAATGAAGTGGAAGAGGGTATTTAATAAATTACTTAATTAAAACAGAACGTAAAATAATAAAAAGAATTGATCTCAAATAGTAGAATAAAACTTACGAGATTATGAATTTCTGATTCTCATTAGAATATAGGTGAATTCAAGTTCGGGCTGCTTGGAGTTGAAACAGGTGTCGATGGAGTACCTGGTGGCGATGCTTCCAATGGACAGACCAAATTTCCATAGTCTACTTCATTTTTGCTTTTTTTACGTTTTAACGTGAATTGAGATTTTTTTGGTATCTGAATTACACATTAATAAAAATCATGTTAACTATAAAACCGTTTTATTAAAATGATTATAGTAAACATTAGATAATTGCAATATACTCAACGGGACCGGAAGGTTGCAATTATGAAAAGGTAGAATCAAATCTATCTTATGAAATGAAGATTTTAGCATGGCATTAAGATTTTGACATTAAAGGCATGTGATGAGCTTTAGACCCTGAATTCAAAAATCAAATTTTCTTATTTTTAACTTTAGATGAATGCAACTTTTACCATTATATTTGTTATGTTTTTCTGGTGAACTTTCGGATATAGAAAAGAACTGCGAATAGAAAAGAAAGAGACGTTGAAATGGTCGAGTTCGACAATAGTCGGATCATGTTACAGCCTTCAATGGCGGTCGGTTGTCGAGCGCTATGGGGTGTTAAAAGGAATCTGGGGGGGATATGGTGGGAATGACGATGTTGCCATTATGAAGAAGTCCCCGATGTTGCAATTATCTAATAGTCACTGTGAATGTAAAACTTGTTATACCTTCAAACGAGCAGTAAGCGTTAACGGTACGAATCCCAGAGTACTTTCAATTTCTCTTTTCCTTTGTACAACTTCTCTGCCAAGAATTTGATTGAAATGTGTAGTCAAATGTCTACGAAGAAGAGTTTTCCCCGCGGAAATACTAAGTAATGTAGCCAATAATTCAGACGTAAATCTTCCTTCGTACACCATTAAACCTCCATGTACTCCAGATCCCCTCATATTAGGAGCATATTCTGCTAAATCAACTACTCTAAGCCATTCCATAACTCGATGATTTGTCCAAAGATGAACATTACCGCCATCTGCCCCATTCCCATTTGTAGATCTTCTTTCAAGATTGTCGAAATCAAAATTTAATTCCCGTAGGACCTTCGAAAATACATAAATTATTAAGGTGCTAACAGATTTTAATAGTAGTAATGTTATATGTTGTTATGTATTAATTATTATTACTATTAGGGATATCCATAAGTTGTCAATTTTTTTTAAATAGTTGAGTTAATTCAAGCTGGCTTAAATATATTGATTAGTGAGGATAGATTTTTTATATTTTGCAAAGTTTGAATGTGAATTTATATTTTTTAGGTACGTAATAAAAAAAATTATCTTGAAACAAAATGGCGGACTATCGATCTACTGAAGAACATATGTGGAACATATTGTTTCATTTTCGCTCGTTTTAAATATTACAACATAAAAAGTACCTGAATTCCGCGTCTTAGGCTTGCAGCATGTAATTGTGCATTTACTCCAAGATTTAATAAATCTTCAGTAGTCAGTCTATGTAACATTCTACCATCAACTTTACCATTGTGAAATGCCTCCTTATGTTGTGGTAAACCTATATCGTCAAGCCATCGCAGAACTGCAGCATTATCCATCTATAATATAATAAATATTTGTAACGTTTATAATTTATAATAACTGCTTAAATTAACAATAACAAATAAGTTAGTCATGTAATCAAGTTTCACTTATAGTTACCTTATCTGATCCAAGGAAATCAGCTCCATCAGATTTTTCTGACTCTATTGCATACAGTATTTTCTTCTTATGAAGAACATTTTTAATTTCCAATTCCTTGTCCATTTGTTGCGGGGAACATTCGAGTAATTTTAAACCAGTTGCTCCCCATCGTCTTAATTCACTTGTATAACATTCCAGTCCTAAATTTGCAAGCCACTCTCCAATTTCTTCCATTGATAGTTCTGCTAAAGGTTTCTGGGTAATTGCTTGTACTCGACAATTCGAGCTTTCGATAATAACATTCTTGTCTTCTTCAGCTAAAGTGAACATAAAAAGAGATAACTGAAGAAGATTATGGTAAGATCATTTTCATATCATAATAATGTTAATCCTCGGATGGTAGTTTCTGGGTCCATTTTGATCCAAACCTTTAAAATCATCATCTATCTTTTTAAATTCTGAATCACAAGTTAAGTTGTTAGTCATTTATTCTAGATCATTTGTAATAAGGTTATCAATGAATTCTGTAGTATGTTTGAAAATGATGTTGTTGTAATCATTCAGCTTCCGAGGGTTAACAAAGTATAGTATTAAAGAAAAATAACGTTAATGACAATTCTAAGTTTGTTTCAATATCACTCATCATTTTCAGTGATTATATTATTTAACATTGTAATACGTGAGTAAAATACAGATTATTTTCTACGGAAGGAATAAGTAAAAATTTTCCATGCATTAAAAATAAAACAGGCTTATGAAATAAATTTTATCAATTGATGAATTACTAGCGCCAAATCGGTATTAAGTTATTGGCCACGACTGCCTGTCACGTAAAAAAAAACTAATAAATAATTGCATTTTTGATAAGCATTTGATAATGCATGCCTAGAGGAAAATCAATCGCAACCTAGAGTAGGCGCAGACAGGCATCTCGCGGAGGCTCCTCTAATGGCCAATGGTACCGTTGTGTGTGCTCCAGAAGTTAAACTGGGAACCTTACCGAACACTACGCCTTTCTTTGAAGAACTCATGGGCCTAGGGAGACTACTATATTGGCTGGTATGCCTTCCAAATTTCTCTCCCTGCAATATATAATTAATGTTTCTTTCCAAATTCATTACAGTGACTATTAAGAACAGCATTTTAAGAAATTATTATGAAGGAATATTGCTTCTTCAATTTTAAGTAATAAATATAATATTGAAGCAACTTAATACAATTGCATGCATGAAATAACTGCATTGTGCTGAAGAAAATGTTGAGTAATCATTGATAGAACTTACATTTAAAACAGGGCTTGTACTGCGAAGCGCAAGATTTTCGTGTTCTAAGCTTGCTTGTCTGAGCTTCATTTCTGATATAGAACTTAGCAATTCCAATTTTTGTGTCTCCAGAGCACTTCTTGAAAGCATTTCCTTTAAAAATAAAAATGATTTAAATGAAATAAAAATGGAAACAGAATACATTAAAATGTAGCTTATTCAACAGAAAAATAAATAACATTTTGATTATTAAACAATTACCAAAATTTCAATACAGCGTTCTCTTTAGATAAATTCAATGTTCGAGAATGGCGAGGTATTCTTGTTTTGTAAACAATACATGTTTCTTATGTTTCTAAGCTAATTCATTTGACGATGTAATAATGTGTTTTTCAGGCTGTGGTACATAGATATGTTGTGTTCGTTTTATTGAAGGAAAGAGTAAAAAGAATATCTAAAATTTATTTTCTTCACTTAAACTTCAGATAAAACAAAAATGCAACAAACAGCACTAAGAATATCAAAGAATTAATATTATAAAAGACAAGTCTAATTCATATTTAAAAAGTACCATAATAATAAAAATAAGTGAATAGAATTACTTTCTGTAATGCCTCCTCCATTCTTCTAAGAGAATCTTTCTTTTCTCTAAGCATACTTTCCAATTCTTGAATTTTATTGGATTGTGCTTCCACCTGTTCTGATAAAACTGATACTTCCATGCGTAAAGCTCCACGTTCATCTTCTAATTTCCTTAAACGCTCCTATGATATTTAAATTAATACCAAATAAATGCTATGAAAATAATGTATTATACTATACCCTAATTGTCACAACTGTTTACCTCAAATAATGCAAAACTTAAAATGTAATTTATATTAAATAATGTTAATCACTTTATGCATTATAAATTTCATTATAGATATATATTCCTGAATTCCATACTTTTAATATTTAATATTTAGTATAATTGTATAATAATATTAATTTAATATTTTTAAGTCACATTACCATTTTCTCATTGTAACATTTAAAAGTAAATCATACTGTTTTATAAAGTATTTTTGTTATGTACACTATCAAATCTGACACGTTATGAATGTGTGTATACCTCAGTTTTTGCTAGACATTCCTCCCACTTTCGAGAAATTTGAAAGTACTGTAGTGAACAACAGTTAGAAGATTCTTTCCTTCTTAAAAAAAGATCTGTTTGCGATCTAATTCTTTGTTCGCAATCTAATCTGTTTCGGAGTCGTCGTTTGCTTCCTGGCTCGAAAGATTGATTGCTTCGATTTCCTTTGTGCTCTTTAGTATTTTCTTGACAACTATGTTTCTTTGCACATAGGCTATTCGATTATATGAGAATATCAATAATATTGAATATAAAAACAACAGAAAAAGAACAAAGGATAAAAAAACCTCATATTATAAACTGCAGAACAAAAAGGTGAAAAAGTCCCCATGTGAGTTAAACTTGTAGGCGAACAGAGATTGGGCACACTTCCTCTAAGACCAATCATTTTAGTATAACCTAATGGACAATTCTAAGAAACAGAATTTAATTCTCTTATACATTATTCACATAATGTTATCAACAATTCATATTTCAATGTAGTGACTATATACATTGCAATTTCAACTATTTTTTAAAGAAGTATAAAAATTAAATATATTCTTTATTGTTGATCATAAAAAAAGACTTATAATTTATTCAATATAAATATTTTGAGTAACATATAGTTGGAGTTAATATATAAAAGATGTTTAATCAATCAAAATATGTTCTATTTGATTGAATAAACTTCTGTCAAAATCTTTGATAATGAAACTATTTAAGAGGTTATATAAAAAACAAAGAAATAACAATAACAGGAGCACAAATATTTATGAATAAGAAAAATCCGATATTTCATATTATGTAACTTCATAACAATACTTTTCTTACTTCCTCTAATAAACAAAGGCATTTGACTAAATCAAAATAAAGCCTGAACATTTTTATTTAGTAATAAAATGGTTTTCATAAGGTGATTTTTATGATTTTTATCAATAAATAAAATGATGAAAATGCTTTTAACATCTTTCTTTTGAAAGTTGAACAAATAGTTCAATTTTCAATTTTTTCATGATCTCAATAATGTAATTCCATATTGTGATTTTTAAAATTTTGGTTACTACCTGGCAAAAACAGCTGTCAGATTCATATATTTGATGTTCAAAACAATCAACATTTGCAAATTCATCTTCTTCTTGATCAGAATTTGATGTCCCTGAAGAATCATAATCTTCTGAAGGTATACATCTATCATCCCAATGTTTTGTTCTTGATATAGTTTCTGATGAATCTGAACCTAAACGAATTTTGTCAACTAATTTTTTAAAATTTATGTCTAGCATATTATTCATGTGCAAATGGAAAATTGATAGCAATATTTATTAATAAAAAAAATGCTAATGTGCATAAGCAAGATATTTTTCTACAGTATTTGACAATATCAAAATATTAATTTTAATATATTTGTTAAAAAAATTTTATTAAAAAAATTTTTAGTATTTTTAAATGATGAAGACAAATTGTATTTAAAAAGTAATATTCATTGCCA